CACCTGTGCTCCGTGCTGTCGCCGTGCTCCTGCTGCTCGTGCGCCTTTAGCTCGGACTTGATGGAGAACTGCGCGCCGCACACCTGGCAGTAGTAGCTCCGCCCCGTGGAGGTGCGCTGCCCGCGGATGATGCGCGCCGCCTCCTGCAGCGTCATGGGCTTCTTGTGCTCGAGCTTGGAGTGCTTCCTGAGGCCGGCGGCGCTGCGGAAGGTCGCCGGGCACAGGGGACACACGCCTGCCCCCGGCTGGTGGCTGGCGCGGTGCTGGTGCAGCAGCGTGACTTGCGTGAAGCGCTTGCCGCAGGTGAAGCACACGTAGGGCTTGATGCCGGTGTGCAGGCGCTGGTGCCGGATCAGGTTGGAGGGGTGGCTGAACTGGCGGCCACAGACGTGGCACACGTTGCTCTTGATGCCCAGGTGGAGGTTGAGGTGCATCTTGAGGTCGTGCGGGCGGTAGAAGCCCTTGGTGCAGAAAGAACAGGTGTAGGGGCGCTCCTTGTTGTGCACGGAGCGCACGTGGTCCTCTAGCATGAGGCTCTTGGGGAAGGAGAGGGCGCAGTGCGGGCACTTGTAGGGGCGGGCCTCGTGGTGCGCCTCGCTCTTGTGCAGGCTCAGCGCCACGGCCGTGTCGCTCGTGTGCTCGCACATATCGCACTGCCACACGCCGTGGCCGCGGTGCACGTGCAGGTGCCCATGGTACTGGCGTCCCGACTTGAACTGCGTGCGGCACACGGGGCACGTGAGGCCGCCGGGGTTCCCGCAGCGCCGGTTCCTCCGCGGCGGAAGCAGGGAGTCCCTTGTGGCCAGCCGCGCCTCGATCGTGCCCGCCTCGTCCTCCGGCAGCCGGGCCTCCTGCCGCCCGCCCTCGCGACGCCCGCGCCCCGCACTCACGCTCTCCTCCAGGGCGGCGGAAGGGCGTGAGTCTCGCACGTGGCTGGGGGCGGAGCGCGCGGGCGCGGGCAAGGCGAGGGCGGCGCCGCCGTCTTGCTCCTCGAGCTTGATGGGCGCCACGCTCAGCAGGAGGACCTCCTCGTCCGGGCGCCGGCCCTCGTCAGCGCCTCCGTCGCCGTCCTCGAGGCGAGTCCCTCCCGCGGCCGCCGCCCCGCCCACGTCGGCGGCCCCACTGCCGCCGCCCACGAGCACGAGGTCCCCGTAAGCGTGCTCCAGGTGCTGCGTGTAGGCGGCCGGGAGCGTGTGCAGCGTGGAGCCGTCGGCGGAGTTGAGCGTGATGGTGTGGGCGTCCGCGGGCGCCACGCCGCCCTCCTGCTCACCCTGGCTCTCGCCCTGGATGTAGATGTACGTCATGGTGTCGCCCGCGCCCGCGTCGCCCACCACCACCAGCTGCGGGCCGCCGCCCCCGCCGCCGCCCACCTTCGCACATCCGTCTGCGCCGCGCACCTGGTGGGCGTCGTCCCCCGCGAGGCCCACCGGCGAGGCGTGGGCGTGCGGCTCCGTCTTCAGGGGCTGCAGCACGATGTTGACGCCTTCGTCCAGGGCGGCGTAGGTGAGCGTGGCGCCCGTGGGAAGGTGGTGGTGGGCGTGGCCCTGCCTTACGCCCGCGGCCCCGGGCTCTTCCAGGGGACACAGGATGAGCGGCTCGTTCTCGCCGGCCTCCTGCAGCGCCACCATCGTCTCATTGCCCGCCGCCTCCTGCAGGGTCACCACGGCCTTGGCCTCCCCCAGCGACACGTGGGCGGGGGTCACGGGCGCCGCCGGGAGCCCCTCCAGCGCGGAGAGCGAGATGCCCGGGCGGCGGCGACTCGCTTCCTCCACGACCACATTGTTCATCACATACTGCGGGGAAAGAGGGGAGGGCGATGATGATGATGATGATGATGATGATGATGATGATGATGATGATGATGATGATGATATAATGATAATAATAATAGTAATGATAATAATAATAGCAATAATAAAAATAATAATATAAAAAAACATAATCATAATGATAACAAAAATAATATAATAGTAAGATAAAAAAAATAACATTAATGATGATAACAATAATAGTAATAACAAAAGTAATAGTAACAATACACTGTTGCTACTACTACTATTGATAGTAACAATCGCAATTCTGATTAAACAATAATGAAAATAATAACAGTAATAACAACAGTACTACTACTACTACTACTTTTACTGTTACTGTTACTACTAATAATAAACATAACGATAACAGTAACAATTACATCGATATAATAGCAAAACAACAATATCAATAACAATAATAATAGTAATAACAATAATACTGGCATTAATAATAATAATAATACGGGAATCAATAATGATCATAATGATGATGGTAACAATATCAGCAATACTGACAATAGCAACAACAACAACAATAATAATAGTAAAAAAATATAATAGTCATCATCATAATAACAACAATAACAAAAAAAACAATAATAATAATAATGATGATGATGATGATAATGATGATAATAATAATATCAATGATAATAATAACAATAATATCAACAACAATAATAATAACTAGATGCACTCAGAGATCGCATACCTCCGCCAAGGCAATGGGGTCACTGATGCAATAAAAAATATTCAGGATCATAGCCATCTAAATTGGGCTAGACACACCTCTGGTACAAAAAATAAATAAATAAATAAAATCTGTTCATAACCAATGAACAAACTAACCAACACTATCAAAAATAACTTCCATGGCAGAGGTAATGATGATAGTAATGATGATGATAATATCAATTACAATAATAATAGTATCCATGATGATAATAACAGTATTAATAACAACAACAACAACGACACCTTCACCATCAACAACTAAATTAATACCAATATTAAAAACTATATAACAATAACAACACTTAGAGAGCGCGTGAGGTAAGGCCAAGGGAACAGGGCCACAGATGCAATATAAATATTCACACGAAGAATTACATTAAAATCACCTCTTTCTCAAGTACACTGGTGACGTGTTTCCCTATCTCGCAATGCTAATGAACCGTTAAAAAAAAAAAACCTGGATCCTGATCATACTCCTGATCACCAACAAAATTCAATGGCATGTAAGTACAGCTAACATACCTAAAAATCTGTTCATAACTTTTTGAGCTATCCTGCTAACCAACAAACAAACCAACAGACAAACTAACCAACGTTATTATCTCCTTGGCGGAGGTAATAACATTAATAATAATTATCATAACAGATATAACAAGAGCTATAGCAATAATCATACGAAAACAAAAGGAAATGTAATATCATTATTATTCTTAATAATAATAACAATTATAATAACAGTTCATTATAATGCTTTCGACTACTGCGTTAAAAAATAAATACAGAAATACGACAAAAACGTGTTTCCTATCATTCCGAATATGAGCAATTTTGGATATATATTTGGATAAATATATACACATATATACACATATAGATATACTTACACACACACACACACTAAATATATATATATATATATATATATATATATATATATATATATATATATATATATAGAGAGAGAGAGAGGAGAGAGAGAGAGAGAGAGAAGAGAGAGAAGAGAGAGATACTGTATATGTATATTATATATATGGATATCTATATCTATATATATACACCTAACTCATCTATACTTTACTAACTCATCTATCTAGCTGTCTATCTATCTATATATCTATATCTAATCTATATCTATATTTATATAATATATATATATATATATATATATTATATATATATATATATATATATATATATATATATATACATAATAATCTATAATTACTAACTCATCTATCTAGTCTGACTGCTAGCTAGCCATGTGTGTGAGTTGTGTGTGTTTGTTTGTGCGTGTGCGTGCGTACGTGTGTATGTGTGGGTGGCCGTGTGTGTGTGGTCGTGTATGTGTGTGTGTGTGTGTGTGTGTGTGTGTGTGTGTGTGTGTGTGTGTGTGTGTGTGTGTGTGTGTGTGTGTGTGGTGTGTGTGTGTGTGTGTGTGTGTGTGTGTGTGTGTGTGTGTGTGTGTGTGTGTGTGTGTGTGTGTGTGTGAGTGTGTGTGCGCGTGTGTGTGTGTGCGCGTATGTGTGTGTGTGCTGTGTGTGTGTGTGTGTGCGCTGTGTGTGTGTGTGCGTGTGCGTGTGCGTGCGTGTGCGTGTATGTGTATGTGTATGTGTATGTGTATGTGTATGTGTATGTGTATGTGTGTGTGTATGTGTGTGTGTGTGTGTGTGTGTGTGTGTGTGTGTGTGTGTGTGTGTGTGTGTGTGAGTGTGTGTTTATGTGTGTGCCTTTTAAATTACCTCGATGTCAGAACAAGATGACTCTTTCCAATCTTTCGTCTTAAAAAACTCACAAAATTAATAACACACCTGTTCTAAACAATAAAAAAAGACACTGCAACGCAGACAATTAACCTCTCTCTCCAATAACCTTTGTCTCCCTTCTATTACCCCTTTGGACTTGCCCTCACCTCCTATAAACCCTTCAAAGCCGGATGGAAAGCGATACGAAATAGCTCTCCATTGGCTGCCTTTCGTCGCCCTTTCGCGCTCGTGCCATTCCGCGCTGGCCCGTGTAGGCTCGATCGCCCTCCATGGCCGTGCCAGCGCCGGGCCTCACAGCTAAAAGTGAGTCTATACGTCACGGGATGACCTAATGGCCGAATTGCGGGTTCGGACACTCGTCATGTACGCATCCTGGTGGTTGGTAATTAGCCCCATGCTCGGAGAGAGTCACAGGAAGGTTAAAATTAACGAATTTAGGCTTACTTACGGAAAGATACGGCAACAAAGAAAGCAAATGGCGTAGAACTAGCCTTTTTGAGGGGGAGTAACACCTGAGAGTTTAACCATTCTAACAGATGGTTCAATAAAATAAAAATTTAATATCAGATCACACGAAAAGTAACCAAAAAAATCTAAGAACTGCCATAGATATCAGCAATATACACTTAAGATTAAATAAAATCAACATTTTGACAGTAACATAGTCGCTCAACTGATTGTTTACATCGAGTCGGACGCTGAGAAGAAGAAAAGATTTTGAAAACGTCAAGAGGCTGCGTTCTCTCTTTGCAAATTCCCTGAGCTGATGTAGAGATATGACGCTGAGCGAAATTAAGGGGACTGAAGAAAATTGTGTGCAAGGTAGACTTCGCGCAAGTGAATGTGCGCAAAAAAGTCTCTCGTGTTTGAAAAGGTTCATGTTTGTGCCCGTTGGTTGACTTGTGAGAACTCGTTCGTTTTTGTTTATTAGTTTGTCTCTCCAGCGATATAGGAGTTATTTCTACTTATCTTGTTTATTGCGTTATTTTCCGAGAAGGATGGTGTTTCATGGCAATTAATTGTCATCACTATATACATTTTCACAATAGTCATTAATCCGTCACTCTCAAATTCCATCAAGTTATACGTACTATGTATTTAGAATATTAATGCACGGATATGTATTATAATATGATGGCTATCATTATTCTGAAAAAAAATATTGTCTAATCAACAGCCAAGCATGAGGATATTAAATTGAATGTTTTGCAATATATATTCTACCAAGGGTTCTTTCAGTGGATACATATACAGGCTTTTTCAAATGATGCAGAATATCATCTCAAAAATATTTAACACATGTACTAGCATAAGACTTATTTTTGTGCATGAATTTACTTTTGAGTGCTCAAAATGTAAATATATTGTTTAACTGCTTTGTTTGAATTACATTTAACTCTAGCTTGAATACATAGATGAGAATGAATACATGTCTTATGTTGATATCAACTAATAGTTGTTGGTAGAGGTTGAAGACCGCGACGCGCGTAGATAGAGGAAAATGGACACCGCCATCTTATAGAGCGGGAAAAATAGAAGGGATAGCGTATAGTTTAAGATGCACCGGCCTTATAGTCACCGCTAAATGAGGAAAATATAACGCGCGGGCGCCTTTCAAATTCAAAGTCGATGAGCTTGTTTACCTTGCTAGGAAAAAACACGACACTGACCCACGAACGCATTTTTGCGTTCGCGAACTAGTCCGGTATCATTACGGCGCTTGTCAAAACGATATTTGGCTTAATTATCTGTGTCTGGTACGCATTTATTACCTTTAAAGTCTATTTAGTAATTTATTATACTTCAATTGCATATTTTTATATTTATCTATACCCTCATATCGAATCCTGCGCATCGAGTGTTTCACACTTTCTTGCGCCAGCCACAGGTTGACAGCTCACCAACCCGCTCATTTCGAGATTGAAAGCGGTGAGAATGTTGCGTTTCAGTGTTGTTGATTCTGGGTTCTTTTTTAAGACCTTTACAGTGGCATCGAAGAATAATTCGACTTCAGTAACCATCCAGTTTTATATCTAGCCCATCAGAGCTCAAAGGACGAAAAAGGTGATTTAAATTGAAGCAATACCAACAGTACAAAGAAACGAAAAGTTTCACGTTTCCGGAATAAAGGTATTGGTTTATTATTTTACGGTGTGAATGCAGCTCTCTTGCCGTACATTCCGTGGTGGAGAGAATGTGTCCCGGGGGTGTTGGGGCTTGCCCCCCATCAACCCTCCCCTCGGGCAGTGCCCGAAGGGCACGCCTAGTCACGGCAAGCCTAGTCACGGCAATTTATATTGATATATTAGGTTGGTTGGTTTATTGGTCAATACGTTTTTGGGGTTGGAACGTGTGAATTCCCGTAGAGTTTTTGTTCGAAATGTGGGTTGGGTTCCGTAGAGTTTTTATTTATTTCGCGTCAGTCCGTAAACTTTCAAAGATGGCGGTTACATCCGTAGAGTTTCATGGCCGATTTTAAGCGCTTTTTGTGGCTATTTTACGCATTTTTATCGTTATCTTCTTATTTAAGCTTGTTTTACCCCATAATTTCCCTGATATACTTCATGCCCTCCCCTACTAACGGGACTAGCAAATCAAGATCGTCGATGGAGAAATACTCGATCTCTGAACGATTCATTCGCAAAAGAAACAACGCCGAAAATCGATGAAATCATAGGATTTCATGCAGAAAAACATCATCTTTTTCGACTTAGTCTCTGCGAGGGTGCGTCGCGGTCTTCAACAATTACCTTGAATTTACTTTTGAGTGCTCAAAATGTAAATATATTGTTTAACTGCTTTGTTTGAATTACATTTAACTCTAGCTTGAATACATAGATGAGAATGAATACATGTCTTATGTTGATATCAACTAATAGTTTTTAAAATCCTTACAAACAAAAGTTTATTAGGATTTATAGACTTGAAATTACAATGCCATGTTATGCATTTGAAGATAAGCAAAAATTTACACTGTCTTTCAATTTGTGACTGTATGATTATTGCAGTTCATTCTTTTATTGCAGATAGATAGGTATTTGTGGTGAAGTCTTAAAGATGGAGTTGGTGCAGAATGCAAGTGCTTGTGAATTGAGTGTACAAAGTGTTAGTACACTTGTACCTGCTGGGTACACTCAGCTCCTTATGGACAAAAGTACAGTTGGATTACAGCCCACAAACACCTTTGT